TGTGTGTGTGTGTGTGTGTGTGTGTGTGTGTGTGTGTGTGTGTGTTTAGGTGCTCTTGCCCGCCGCTGGTCTGCTGCAGCTACAGGAAGTTAAAAAGGCCTGCTGCGAGTTTCTCATAACTCAGCTTCACCCAACCAACTGCCTCGGTATCCTTGCCTTCGCCGATTTGCACGCTTGCATGGAGCTGCTCAATCTCGCCAACACGTACGCCGGTGTGTGTCCTTCCTTAAAAGAGAAACTCAAGCAAGAAATTCACACACACACACGATAGTCACAATAGTGATGTTTCTTATTGGATGTGTGTCGGTAACTCTGTTTGATGGTCTCAATCTCTCTCCCACTCACTGACACTCACAGAGCAACACTTCTCAGAGGTCGTGCAGAGTGAGGAGTTTCTCAATCTGGGCATGGAGCAAGTGTGCAGCCTCATAGCAAGCGACAAACTGACCATTCCGTCAGAAGAAAAGGTAACGTCACGCGTGATGAGAGGCTTGTGTTGCTGTAACTATAGCAGCACACATGTGATTTTATCATGCAGACTTTAGCAGCTCTGTTGCCATGGTAACATACTGCTGGTACAATAACACAATGGGAATAGCTGTAGCTGCTGATGAGAGCTTGTTGGTCGTCATGGAAACAGGAGTTGGAAGATGCAAGGCGTGGGCACCATGCTGTTGTTGTATTTTTGTTTTTTTGCCATGGCAACACCAGCTTCTAAAGATATCATATTTTGTGTTTTTATTAGTTTTAGCTTGTTCCACCTGGTATTAACATCCGTCTCTAGTGATTTGACAAAGTGCTGTTTTCACCCTGTACTGTCATGCATCTCAGAAATATCTCCTGTGATCAGATTTTGAGGAGAATGCGTTTCATTTCTTGACTGCATGCATTCAAATTTGACCAAATGCTTATTTCTGCAGAAAAGAAATGTATAAAAGGAAATAAAATCCTACAGAGGAGCCCTGCAGACTCTAATGACTGTTTGTCAAGGACAATAATTCTTTTAAAATTTCAGATAATTTAATAAATGACCTTTTTATCACAAGGCAAGATTAGTTTAGGTTAAGATGTCTTGATGTGACTCCTCAACAGAGTTATTATCGTTAACTAATCCTAAAACTGAAACTATTTCTGTTAACTGAAATAAAGCTGAAATCAAATAAAATATATATATTAGATTTGCTTAAATACTTGATTGGGAACTTCTTGAAATAAATTTAAGTTGAAGCACTAAACTTACTAACTGGATATAAACTAAAACTGAATGGAAAATAATAGAAATTAACGAATTAAACCTAAATAGTATATTTTTAAAAGTAAAACGGAAAAAATATTAAAAAACAAAAGCTAATAAAAATAACTAAAGCACATAAATTACTAGAATAAAAAAAACATCAAAATTACTAAAAAGCAAATTAAAATGAAAACTGGAAAAATTCAAAATAAAAGCTAATTCAAAATATTAATAAAAACTGTAATAGCATATAAATAATTCTTAACACTGCTCCCCAAAAACGTCATAAAATGTATGAATTTTTAGTAAAAGATATGGATTCAGGGTGTAAGGAAATAGTTACTCCACATTACGTTTTTCAAATGATATATTTATAAAATTATATTTAAACTCTTATTAAAAAATTTTATAGTTTAAAAAGGAAAAACATGAAACAAACATGAATACAAAGAGTATTTTTTAAAGGGGTCATATGATGTTGCTAAAAAGAACATTATTTAGTGTAATGAAATGTGTTTATGCGGTGTAAGGTTAAAAAAACACATTATTTTCCACATACTGTGCATTATTGTTTCTTCTCTATGCCCCGCCTTTCTGAAACGCGTCGATTTTTACAAAGCTCATCGGTCTGAAAAGCGAGGTGTGCTCTGATTGGCCAGCTATCCAGTGCGTTGTGATTGGCCGAATACCTCAAGCGTGTGACTGAAATGTTATGCTCCTACCATACTGTTGATGCCGTGTCCGGCCGGAGCAACGAGACAAAAACATTAAAACCCATTATAA